TGCGATGACTTGTGTCAAAAATCGTCTGCGCAATCGAATCGGAGATCAATGGTTGAATGATAGTTTGATTGCATATATTGAGAAAGATGTATTTGACATGATTGAGAATGATGTAATTATGGAACATTATCAAAATATGCGAACACGTAGAGAACAGTTATAATAAAATATCTTTTACTTTAATTTTTTCGTCACTTTTTGAAAGTTTGATTGTGCCCCCCTGTTTAAGAAGTCAGCGTCTGCCCCCACATTCTTCTTTCTTGGTTTAGTCATTCTAGTGGGTGGCCATTAGAGATAAATGATTTTTACCTAGGGGTGTTAAGTGGGGGCTACAAACGAATCGAGTAACGAGCCGCTCATTGAATTGTACGAGTTAGTTGGTTCGTAATTGATGAGTGAAATGTAATTTTTACTAAAAATATTGACTAGTAGCGAACGGACTTGACTTGACCCACAAAGGAAAGACCTGGTGGGGGCGAGCCGAGCAGAGCTCACATTTAGTGAAGCGAGTTGGCCACGCTCAGCTCGCCCAACAAGCAAGCGCGAGACGGCTCGTATACTAACTGGCCCCTTAAAACACCCCTGCCTCTACCGTTTCCCTTCAATACAAATTTAAGCAGTGAAATGAGTTAAACCAGGCTACTTTTGGTTTGTCCAATCATTGTCTTCATATAAATCAAGAAACTTCTTTCCTTTCCCAAATTGTCACCACACCGCCCCAAAAAATAATCATGTTTGATTAATAGAAACGTTTTTGAACTCGATCATCCTCAATAGAAGAAAGCTAATACGCGTCAATAATATCCTAGAATGACTTAGTACCCCCACCCCCCCTAATAACCGTTGGAGTTGGTTTTCCTAGGGAGCATATTGCATGCCCTCTATAAGAACTTTTCAAAAGAATCATACAATCAAAGTTAGATTACTAAACTTGGTGTAGTATTACTCGATGATGGGGCTTCCGAATTTTCCTTGTCCAGCTGAAGGGGTGCTGCCACTGCTGGCGATGAGCACGGCTACGTCAGTGGCTGCTGCAGGGAAGAACATGCTAAGATCTATGCTGCAACTAGGTGGTTCTAGTGGTGGTGCCGCCAATCAAGATTTTTTCAAGGAAGAGGCTATGTCTGATGAGATTCTGGCGGTTTAAGGGCTAGAAGAGTGTGGATAACGCGATATGGCTCTTTATTAACAGAACGCACGGTAGCAGTGGTGGAGATGGCAATTACCATATGTGGCCGTCGACCTATTGTTGTTTGTGTCTTTGCAAGTTTCAAGCTGATGAGGAAGTGAGTGAGCTTTCTTGCAAGCATTTCTTCCACGAGGATTGTTTGGAGAAGTGGCTTGAAAATCAACCTAGTACTTGTCCTCTTTGCCGTTTCATTATGTAAATTCGGTTGCTGAGTGGACTTAGTTCTCACGTTTAAACAGAATCACAATAAATTTATGCATGCTTTGTTTGTGTACTTTACTTTTATCCCTTTGCAGTCTTGACATAAATGTTTGCTTGATGTGTGCTTAGTTTCCTGTAAATAGAGGATTAACTCATAAAACATAGTTGAGTTATACCATACATTTCGTAGTTGTTAGTGAATATAGCGATCAAGTTAGATTATGCAAAATTACTACTGCATGAAAATGTTGGGATATAAATCTTTTTCTGGCACAATATTCGTATAACTTCGCTGATACATATACAAGTAGACAGGTAACTCCTCCAATAGAATTTGAGAATTATGATGAAAAAAATACAAGGGATTTTAAAATTAAACACACTAGCACATTATTTATCTTATCCATAAGTTTCTTCAGATATTGATAGTTTAGGAGGCTCAATATCCCTTCTTAGACATCCATTTGCTTAGTCCAAACTTCTCGTGCTCCAGTTCGATGAACTCTGCAGCTTCAGCATCGATGTCCTCATCAAAGATTACACGTTTTCCCTCAATCGAGTCCTCAGTTGTGCGCCAGTTATCCACCACGATTCTGTTTCCAGCCTTGGGAGTAATCTCTTCAAACTGATTGGAGTTCAAACGAGCACTTGGACGTGGATGAATGTCTTTAAGCCACCATGCCATATGCTCAGCTTCATAAATCTCGTAAGCATCCTGGGGTTGATGATGCTTTTGATGCTTGTCATGGTGCTTCTGGTTTCGTTTCTTCTCCATTTTATGTTATGAAAACTTGTTAACTCACTAGTAAATATATGGCAGGTACATTGTTAATCTTTTCGACTATTTATAGTTGAATTGTCGATTGCCTGAAATGATAAGATGGAATCTAATACCTTACACTAATCGTCCAAAGAATGGAAATATTGAAAAAGGGAATTAGTACATTCTTTGCTGCTAATTTATTGGTGTGTATGAATTTCTCGGAAGAACCTCTAGAACTTGGTAACTGCATTAAGGGGTTGTTTGTTCCTAATTCTCAAAATCACTTCTCAAATCAATTCTGATTTTCAACCACACATTCTTCAATAAAATAATATTTTTCATCACATCAATAATTTTTTCTTCTTTTTCAACCACACAATTTTCCATCATATCACTATTCAAAATCAATTCTTTCCTCAAAAATCCATACCAAAAAAGCACTAAATAAGGGGAATGATGATTGTTCTCGTCTTGGTTGGATCGTTAACTCATTACCTGTGGCTAACAGGGAATCTGAAGAATAATCAAAGCATTTAAGCCGAAAAATTTGGCAGAGTTGCCAATTTTTACCAGAATTCGAATCTACCTTTGTTTGATCCAAGTTTGACACAACTCTTTCGAAAGTTAATCCATCCAGGGTAGAGGTGTAAGAAGGGTTTCCCTGCCCAGGCCCGTCCTTTGGACGGCCCAGGCCCAGCTAAAATCTGTAAAAGTCCGGGTCTGGCAGTCCAAGCCAGAGGCCCACTTCTATTTATTTATTTATTTTCTTGCTTAGCTCAGCAATTCGATTTGTCGGCATTGACTTAACATGCAAGACATGATACGATAAGTCTATAAATCCGAGAAATTGACGTCAATACTGCATGGGTATGGTGTAACCGTGCATCTCCATTACAATTTATCCTAATTTTATTTGCTTTGCTTGTTCATATATATTTTCATCGAGAAACTCTTCTTGGCCCGGCTCAATATTTATTTATTTATTTTCTTGCTTAGCTCAGCAATTCGATTTGTCGGCATTGACTTAACATGCAAGACATGATACGATAAGTCTATAAATCCGAGAAATTGACGTCAATACTGCATGGGTATGGTGTAACCGTGCATCTCCATAACAATTTATCCTAATTTTATTGGCTTTACTTGTTCATATATATTTTCATCTTTCACGTAGTTTATGCAGTAACTTTTTATTATTTGAATAACTTGATTTTATTTTTTCAATAAATAGCTTAAAATAAAGTTTAGGATTGTACTTAGAGATTTGGAGTTGCTAATTTGTGTCATCTGACGATTCTGCTTTCATAAGAATCTCATTGCTACTCATGGAATTGTTCAAATTTCCAGGTGCAGTAAAGAAAAAGCCCTTTAAACTTGATTCCCCAACTAGTGAAGAAATCTGATCTGCTGGTCCAAACGAGATCAATTTGATATCAATAAAAACTACATTAACTAAAGAGTTAAAGTTAAGGTAGACAAGCATAATCGTTAACAATATTAAAGTAAAAACTAAACTTTCATCTATTGTATTTTAGAGTATGGGTATAATTTCGTCTTGTAAGCCTGATACAACTAACAAGTGACTTTCTCGTTTTGGTATTTAATTGGAAGTATTCACTCTGTGCTTTTTGCCCTTAAACCTTGTGAATATGGCATTATTCTTTGATCCCTTTTGGATCTTTCGACTCTATGAGCAAACCTTTCTTCTTAAGTTTAGAAAATTGAGAGTCACCGTGTTTGATATAAGCATTTATGCCATACGTAAAACCTTTTCTGGATGAACCTGGAATTTAGTCACAGGACACCTAACCCAGATTCACTGCCTTTGAATCCCGAGTTGAGATACTTTGGACATACTCGGTACGCTAGATTAAACAACACAGGTGATAAATATTGTCATGTGTTTTACCAAATTTTGTTCAGTATAGAAGAGCATATCAAACATGGCCTTTAAACTCAACTATTTAAAAAAGGACAAGCTAAAACATTGGCAGACAATGTAATGAGCTGCGCATTCATGTAGTCAATGATTTAAGTTGTCAAGGATAACAGACATGCCAACCTTGAAGAGTAACAGAACATGATAAACAATGAAGGGCGTCAGATTCTCTGCTCATTTGACCTTTTAAATCATCTTTCTTAAAAGTTATATGAAAATAATAGGCAAGAAACAAAGAACGAGCGGGCAAAATGTACTGTAAGAACCAAACTCCGATAAAATGAGAAAAAATAATGCTCTTCGAGTAGGATTTGTCATGAATAAGAACCTCAGTCAGTAAAAATTAGAATGCTACATGATACAAAAGCATACAAAATTAGTCCCATCTCAAAAAATTTCACCGAAACTATTTACAGCTGGTCATATGATGTTTCATACAAACAACAATGAAGACCCCGTCCACAACTTAAAAAGTTTTCATCACAGCAAACTCCCGCTCTAAGAAAATTTATACATGGCTCGCTCTAAAATCCAAGAATGCACCTTTTTTTCAAAAACATCTAAGAAAATGAATGATGCAATTATTGCGGCCAATACATTTAGACATACTGAAGTCACAAATTGATCGCGAAACCCTTTTCCAGAAACCAAACCTCAAAACTTTCAGAAGAGGGTCCTGTATAGTTTAGCCACTTTCTCTTAAGCAATTTCCGGGCAAGAGAAATTTATATTTATGGGCATTTTCCAGAAGATATGCAGGGAGATAAATGGCCGAGTATGAATGGGGAATAGGTCCCATTTTCCCAATAATTTCCTTAAAAGAGTACTCCTCTGGCAGCATATCGAATAAATTTTCCCCCCTACAAATAACTCTCTGGACTCTTTTAGTATTCAGAAAATGAGAAAATCGAACCCTGTCAAAATGGCTATAAGCTTTCATCTTGAATATGAATTCATTAATGTGTCGGAAGCAAAAGCTACAATGCCATCCTGCATCAGCCAAAATGTCATCAGACTGTCGATAATGTGCATATTTTGTCTTCCCCGATTGATATCTGTGAACAGAAGCTCTCCAGCTATTATGATCCACAAGAAACTCGAAAGAATAAAGATAGTTCTTCAGCTGAAGATGGAGGATTGGAGGTATATCATCGCACCATCTCAAAAGATTAATTGTGTGTTGACTCGGTATCTCATCAACGTCCGACATTATCAACAAGTCGTCATCCTGAATTCCAGCTTGTTTGAGAAGATAATCCAAAGCCAGTCTCTGATAGGCCTCCTCAATAAATGGATTTTCTCCTCTCCTAAATCTGCCCGGAACTTGCCCATAAGTCAATCGTGACTCGACAAATTTGAATTGATCTCGATTAGCGGAAAAGCATAAAGGCTTTGACAGTCCAGTGAATGTCGAATTTGACTCGAGTAGTACAAATTCTGTCACACAAGGGTCCAATTCCTTCCATCGTATTTTAAGGATGTCTACTTCATTGTTGAACAAGACTACATCAAATACTCGCCTTGGATATTCCCGTATACCCCAACCGTGAAGTTTACAAAGATTCTCCATCGATATATTCTCATGATAATAGTGAGGGATATCATGGAAGGGCTTGGGCGGTTTTACCCATAAGGGCCGCAAGAAGGTTGTGATCTTCGGTCCATGCACATAAATAACAAAGACGCACATCGGAACCAATACCAAAAGAAATAGATAGGTTCTCATATTCAATCCATGCATAATACACTTTAATCTCGACATGCTCAAGGTTCGACCAGAATCCTGCAAGTGTTAAAAATCACATTCACTATAAACTTCATAGAGCATATAAAATCAACAAGAACTACGAAATCTCCATATTTTAATGCAATAATCTCCCCATTCAATCACAGTATCAAACATCTAATGGCATGTCTATTACGAAGGATTAGATAGTATATTAAGAAAGAAAAATAAGCCAAAATCCGGTTCATTATACCGTCTAATCCCCTATTCAACCACACTTACTACCTATGATTTCATAGGGATATTCTGAAGGAACCAATTTACACGAAAACTAAAAAATGAAACTAGTAAAGAATGAGAAAAAACCATTTGATAAAATTTCCGAAAATTGATATGGATAAAATTCCAAAAATTAATATCGATTTTTTGATGAAAAGAAAGTAGCAATCTTTTCGACAATAGGGCCTCCAAATTCAGAATTCCAAATTTGAAAATTCAATTATTTAAAGTACAACAAATTAACCCACGAAAACCCCCCCACAATCGCTAATTCCCAAAATTGTCTCTTACAAGAAAAATTAGGAAAAATCAAAACCTTAAATGAACCCATTTTAATGCGTCTATACATTAATTTAAATAACAAGTGGATAAGGAACCAAAAAAAATAAAAAAATTACCTTGCCATTAGCATCCCAACATATGTCGTCTGTCTTCTTAGAAGAATAACGGGATTCCACTTCAGTCAATCTTGACTTATTCCACATATTCCCCCTCGTGATTTCAATATCAAACCAGAAAATAGCAGACCCAACAAAAATCAAACTAAACCAAAATGGAGAAAAATAATAAAAAAAAGGGAGAGTCACAATGAAGTCTAAGAACTTCAAGAACCCAGAAACAAGAATTCTTGAAATTATCAAAAAATAACGAAAATAGGGATAAATTAAAAGGAATGAACAGGACTGGAGAGTAAGAGACAGAGAGAAAAAAAAATCTTTATGTATGCTTTTATGTGTTGGAGCCTCACTGGTGAATGAGCGGCAGTTGTAAGAATTACAAAGAGCCGTCTTCTACCCGTTGTTTCAGAACCATTTATAAACCGGACCGTGCTGCTTGCACAGATCAGTGCAAGATATGTGGAGTAAAAAGTTTCATTAGTCACTGAACTTTAATCCTTGTAACGTTGTGGTCACTGAACTTTAATATGCTGCTGATCGGTCAGTGAACTTGTCCAACATTCCCTCCATCCGTCACTGACCAGAATCTCGTTTGAAGAGCAGCAGACGTGGATCGACGGAATCCTAATTGGCAACAGACAGCGTGATTTACTTGACACTTCAGTTGCCT